GCTGGAAGGAGGATCCGGGGAACTACAGGCCTGTCAGCCTGACCTCGGTGCCGGGGAAGGTCATGGAGCAGATCATCCTGAGTGCCATCACATGGCACGTGTGGGACAACGAGGGGATCGGGCCCAGTCAGCATGGGTTTATGAAAGGCAGGTCCTGCTTGACCAACCTGATCTCCTTCTATGGCAAGGCGATAGTCGATGCTGGCAGAGTGCCCACGTGGCCAAGAGGGCCAACAGCACCCTGGCTAGTATCAGGGATAGTGTGGCCAGCAGGGCCAGGGAGGTGATGGTGCCCCTGTGCTGGGCACTGGTGAGGCCGCCCCTCAAATGCTGTGCTCAGCGCTGGGCCCCTCACCCCACGAAGGCCATGGAGGGGCTGGAGCGTGGCCAGAGCAGGGCAGCGAGGCTGGGGCAGGGGCTGGAGCCCAAGGCTGGGGAGGAGCGGCTGGGGGAGCTGGGGGGGCTCAGCCTGGAGAAGAGGAGGCTGAGGGGAGCCCTCATCGCTCTCTGCAACTGCCTGAAAGGAGGCTGGAGCCGGGGGGGTCGGTCTCTGCTCCCCAGGAACAAGCGCTGGGACGAGAGGGAACGGCCTCAAGCTGCGCCAGGGCAGGTTTGGGTTGGGTATTAGGGAAAACTTCTTCCCCCAAAGGGCTGTCGGGCCCTGGCCCAGGCTGCCCAGGGCAGGGGCTGAGTCCCCATCCCTGGGGGGATTTAAAAGATGTGCAGCTGTGGTGCTGAGGGACATGGTTTAGTGGTGGGCTTGGCCTGATGTGCCCCTTCCACAGGCCTCAGCGTGCCAGCCCGGTGCTATGCGATGCTCCCTGAAGCGCTCCCTCACAGCTGCGCTTGCAGCCTCCTTCCTCCTCCTCCTCCTCCTCCTCCATGGGAGCAGCCGGCAGGAACAGGATCCCCTGGAGGTGAGTCCCCCACCAGTGATGTCCTGCTGGAGCGGCCACCGGAGCATCCTCCATCCCTGCCTGCCCCACACAGACCCCAACCCCAGCTCTGCTCCCTTCCCCTCCCCTCAGCATCCCCAAACCCCAGCTCTGCCTTCTCCTCTCCCTGGGGCTGCCCTGTGCACCTGGGCCTCCCCAATCCAGGAGCTGGGAGGGCAGAACAGGGGCTGCCCCTCATTTCTGGGTCCCCCTGTTGTCATTACCCCTTGCTCACGCATCTCCGTGGTGCTCTGGGGTCTGACCTGGCTGCCTGCGGCTCCCATCCAGGTGGAGCTTAGGGGCTTGACCCCAGAAACGATCCTGCAGATGCTGCAGCCGGGAGGAGCCCAGCGCATCCTCAGGGACATGGATGACCTCTCTGCACTCCACAATGTCTCCTACCACCTCCTCGCTGGCTCCCTGTCACCCCACAAAAGTGAGTGGCTCCGGGACCCCGGACTGAGCAGGGCTCTGGGTTTGCACATCTCCCATCACAGCTGCACATCCCAGCATGGACCTGCCCCATCGCTGCTGCCGCCAGGGTGGGGAGGGGTCTGCTTCCAACCTTTTTGGAACAGGAGACCTGCTGATACCTGGTGACCTCCCCCCCAGCCAGCCCTCGCTGCTCTCCCTGGGGAGATGGAGGGGTAGAGGAAGGTCTGCATGCTCCAAGCATGGTCCATGCTTCTGCACCTTGGTATTGGGGTGACCGCAGACATTTTGGGTTTCCCAGTTCTCCGTGGGGAGGGTGGCTGAGATCCCCTCTCCCAGGGGCTGCTCCCCAGTCAGGAAGGTGGAGATGGGGCTGGACCACTGGGACAACCACATAGTGTGGGAGATGTGGGTCAAGCTCTTGGACAGGTGGACAAAAAGCAATTCACATGCAAACACCACGGGAAGGAGCTTAGGGCAGCCCCACGCAAGGCCACGCTGAAACCAGCGGTCCAGTACCTGCACAGTGTGGTACAGACCAGCAGCAAGAGAAGCTGCAGCGAAGCTGAGCAAATGGAGCCGCAGGTGGGCTGTGGGGAGGCCAGAAGGATGCCTCAGCCCACTGCGGTTGCATCTCCGCGAGGTTCAGAGTAGGGCAGGGGCACGCTTCCAGGATGCGTAGCCATGCCACAAAGCCATCCCTGCCCCACAGACTGTCTTTGCACTGTTCCTTCCCCAGGTTTAGCTATTTTTTTAAGGTCTTTTTCCCAAATATTTCTTCTTCAGAGGAACCCCTGACTGCTCATCCTGTCCTCTCCCTGCCATTTGAGCCAATTTTGGGCACCTCCTAAGATGCTGGGGGCTTCAGCTTCAGAAAGGACCTGCCGGCCTTGGACAAGGGCCATAAACACCATTAACCGTGCCGGCTGGCCATGCGGAGAGCTTTTTGGAGCCCCCTCCTTGTGGCTTGCAGGGAAAAACCTCACCACGGTGCAGCCCAGGTCACCCCTCAGCCTGCAAATGCCTTTCCTTTGCCTTGCAGAATTCCTGGCGGTGGGATTGGCATCGGTGCAGCGGCCACGTGGCTACTACCTCCCAGACACGCTCCAGTCCCTCTTCAAGCAGTCGACGGAGGAGGAGCTGCAGGAGATGGTGGTGGTGGTGCACCTGGCCGACGCGGACCCCACGTGGAACATGCGCGTGGCCGCCGACATTGTCCACAGGTTTGCTCACCACATCCTCCTGGGCCGGCTTCTGCTTATCCACGTTCCCCACGAGTTTTACCCCACCCTGGAGGGCCTCAAGAGAAACTACAACGACCCAGAGGAGCGGGTGAAGTTCAGGTCCAAGCAGAACGTGGACTATGCCTTCCTCCTGGCCTTTGCCGCCAACCTCTCCTCCTACTACTTGATGATTGAGGACGACGTGTGGTCCGCCAAGTCCTTCTTGTCGGCCATCCGCAAGGCACTGGCTTCCCAGGAAGGCTCCAACTGGGCCACCCTTGAGTTCTCCAAGCTGGGCTACATCGGTAAGCTCTACCGCTCCAGTGACCTTCCTCGCCTGGCTCGCTTCCTCCTCCTCTTCTACCAGGAGATGCCCTGCGACTGGCTGCTGGTCCACTTCCGCCTCCTTCTCACCCAGAAGGACGTCATCCGCTTCAAGCCCTCCCTCTTCCAGCACATGGGCCTCTACTCCTCCTTCCAGGGCACCATCAACCGGCTGGAGGATGACGAGTTCCAGGCCGATGCCTTGGACCTTCCGGACAACCCGCCAGCGGCCTTGTTCACCAGCATGTCTGTCTTCGAGAACTACGAGCCCCTCAAGGCTTACAGCACAGCAGAGGGGTATTTTTGGGGGAAAGACCCAGCAGCCGGCAGCGTCTTCTCCGTTGTCTTCCACCAGCCGGCCCGCATCACCCGTGTCCGGGTGCGCACAGGCTCCGATGAGCGCCGGGGTGATTTCCTGCACGCGGGGGTGCTGGAGCTGGGCCGGCGGCGGCAGGCCAATGGCCGGGACTGCTCTGCCTACACCACCGTGGGCACCTTCGAGAAGGGGACCTTTGAGCAGCGGGGGCTGGAGAAGGACGTGCCCGGCCCCGTGGAGTGCATGAGGATCCGGGTAACCCAGGACCAGAGTGAGTGGCTCATCATCCAGAGCATCGACATCTGGACCATGGCAGGCACCTGACCGGGGACGTGGCGGGTTGCCAAAGCCGCTGGAGTTTGTACTAAGAGGTCCTTCATTTTTCTCACTCCCTTTTTTGATAAGGAATTAAATAATTGGCTCCTGGCTGCCGCTGCCGATGGGGCCGGGAGCAGGGCCCCCGGGCTGTGCCTGCTCAGGGGATGCCCCGCGAGCAGTGCCGGGGGTGTGGGGAGGAGCAGGGGCTTGGGAGTTTCAGGCTGGGCAGCAGCAAACATTTCCTCCCAGGGAGGACGGTGCACAGCACAGAGCTAATCAGCTAATTAACAAAGCAAATAATTAACCAGGCAGTGGCATTTTTTGCAACTCCTTCACACCATCCCTTCCCCGGCTCAGTGTTCTCACCCACCGACTCTTGATTTTTAACCTGCAGTTTTTTTCCTCTCCTATCCCATTTTCAAGCGGTTCCTGGGAGGGGCCGGGGGAGGACACGGGGGTGCTGCCCACCAAACCCCTCGCCCTCCGGGATCAGGGAGCCAGGGGTCCGGTCGCTGGGAGCAGGACCCCCACCACGGGTGGTCACCGATGGCTCAGTGCTGATCAGCGGGACCAGACGGACCCAACGCACGGCTCAGTCCCTGCGCGACAGCCATGGCAGCTCTCCTCCCGCCGCTGCTCCTGGTCAGACCCTTCAAACAGATTTTTCCCCCTCTCGGCGGGCTGCAATTCCCAGCCTGTGTCCGTGAGGGATTCACACCAAGAGGGAAGGACAGGGGAGATGGGGTTTCTACAAGAGGGAGAAAGGTCCAATGATAGAGTACTACGGAACAAGGCTGGGTGAAGGAAAATGTGACCTCGGTATAATGCGCGTTAATTCCCGACTTGAAATTCTGCTAGGAAAAAACAGACCTTGTTTCTTAGTACTTTTAAACAATTTTCAACAACTCCAACTCAATGCAACTATTTATTAAAAAATAAAATGCCCAAGATCTGGTACCTGAGACGTTTCAGCTTTTTTGACACCTAGATCTGAAAACGTAAAGTTTACACAATCCTATTTTGTGTAGATAGGAGGGTGTGTACTTACTGGGACGTTTGCCCTGTAGTTCGTCAAATTTGATAAAAAGCTCAAAGATATTAGGTTTCTTGGAATATATATATAAAAAAGGGATGGATCAAGATCTTACTGCTATTGTACTTCTTTTTTCACCTATTTCTTTCTTGAGGGAAAGACTGTAGCCTGCCCTCAACCCTTATAGTGTGTCAGAGAATCCACATGGAGGAAACGCTATAGGAGGAACTTCAGTCACACTGGAGAATTCAGTGATGAAGCGTTAGGAAATCGGTCTCTTTTCCCAGGTAACAAGTGATAGGAGGAGAGGGAACGGCCTCAAGGGGCTGAGGCCCCATCCCTGGGGGGATTTAAAAGCCAGGGATATGTGGTGCTGAGGGACATGGTTTAGTGGTGGGCTTGGCAGTGCTGGGTTAACGGTTGGCCTGGATGATCCTAAAGGTCTTTTCCAACCAAAATGATTCTACGAATGCGAAGCTCTGGGTACTTTTTAGCCTGGCGAGGGGCTGAAGGGTGACTGGGGTACATGCAGGCTGCAGGCACAAAGCCCCTGAAACGCTTCCGTTTGGATTTGTCTGGCAGGATCAGCTTGGAGGGCTGGATCCTGCTGGGCAGCTTGATCAAAAGCTGTTGGCACCAGTGTGCAAGGCAGTGACCGGCACCTCTCCCAGTCAGGCTTTTAGCAATGATTGCTCAGCGTTCAGCAAACAAGGAGGAATTCTGATCTGCTTGCCCTTCCCGCGAGGCAGCCCGGAGCGGCCTGTCGCTAACTTGGGCCAAGCAGGACTGCTCTGGTTTGCCAGCGTTTGAAGCCCAGCTCTCCTGGAGCAAGACAGTCACCCTCTGAGCACAGACAGACACAAACCAGGGCCGAGGACCCACCTGCAGTGCTGAAAACACCCCGAGCACTGTAACCACAGCTCAGTCTCGAGGTCCTGCATCAGCTTGCCAGCTGGGCAGTGGAAGGCAGCCTGGAGAGCAGGCGCTCAGGGCTGGGAGCCCCAGACCTGGCGTGATGGGACTTTTCCCTGAAAAAAAGCCAGCCGTGTAACAGATCTTTGTCTGCATTTAATACAGAGATGCTACATGATGAACTCCAGCACCTTCCTGACGTTATCAATGCTCTCAGTAGGATCAATACACACACTGCAGAATCACTTCAGGTTCCTCCACACAGCCCGAGTACAGCCGCGGCTCTCGGAGTGTTTTGAGTAGCACAAGTGTCCCCTTTCCAGGGCCCCAAGACGCAGACAAGTGTTTACAGTGCTCCAGTAGAGCCTTTGCCCCAGTTCTCTTGGACACAAATGCCCCTGCCCGCACTGTGAGAGCGTCGAGGGTTACTAACGTGGGTACAAACGGAAAGCTTTCTCCCCAGTATGTTTTTATCCACTGCTAAAGCAGGAAAAGATAAAAATGTAAATCAACCTGTCACCTGTTGGTCTCTTACTTGTGAACGTACTAATCGGTTCTGTGACATTCACCTCCACAGAAACAAGCTGCAAGCCGAGTTGCGCTGGTGTAACTCTGGACAGACTCCACTGGCTAGAGGGGAAATCCGCGCAGTTTACACCAGGGTAAGTGCAAGCAGCAGCTGAGCACTGGCAGGGAAGCCCCTCTTCCTCCTTCCAGTGCAATGAACTTGTCTCAGCACCACGACACCCAATTAACACTGGTGCAAACTGGAGGAGGAGGCGGCTTCTTCATCCTGGAGGAGCGCCACGTAATTTATCCCACATAAAAATGATCCTGCTATTTTTATCCCAGGAAGACTCAGCCAGCTTCCGACACTCCGTACCGAGACCCCTGTCTCTGATGCGGGGGTGAGCCGACGGAGACTTCAGTCCCAGCAAGTGGTGCCCGCGCGGTCCAGCCGAGCCCAGCGCACCGGAGCTGCAGCCCCTGCTCGAGTCAGCCCGTGAAGCGGGGCGACAGTGCTGCGTACAACTGACCATTCGCATGCAGCCACGGGGCTAACGATCAGCGCAGATCTCGGCCAGGCAAGGGGTAAGGAGCCTCTGGGCTGAGAGGTAAAGGGCAAGGGGACAAAACCAGAGGCAAGCATTTTGGTCTGCTTCTCTCTATGAAGACGGTAAATCAGAGAGGGTTGGAGCTTTCAGTCAAACACCACGGATGTCCCGAAGGATGACTTGCTGTCCGTCTTGACCAGCAGAGCTACCTTGTCTTTTGGGAAGTGGTGCCGCATAGCTCAGCAAAGATCTAGCTCAGCATCTTGTGGCGGTCAAAAACTGTCTTCCTCTGCTCCTGCACCTGGCGCTTCCAGCGCTGCTGGGCCCCCTCCACCCTCTCCAGCACCGTGTTGGCTCTAGCGCCAGACGGGGTGAGGGCTGCGGCCAAGGAGCGAGCATCCTGCAATGGAAAGAAACGGTGACAGAGATCAAGGCACGCCCGGCCCGAACACAGAAGGCGGCAGCTCGACTCTAGGAGAAATTTCAACTGAAAGACAATTCAAGGCTTGAGTTGTGCTGACAAAGAAGCTCATTTTCAGAGCTCCTCAACACCAGCCCCCCAGCTCCAGCTGGAAAGCTTGCTCTTAGGGACCACCCATGGTAAAGTCACAGGTCCCAAATAAAAAGTCCCCAGGAGAGGAACTGCGCTAAGTCTAAACCTCTGCTGGAAATCCACTGCTAGGAGTCTGCAAGGAGCCACACTGCTAAAGCAAACTGCATCACCCCGCTGAGACTGGGCCAACAACTGCCGTCGTCCTTGGCGTACTAGCTTACACAGTAGCTGCTCCTCTGTTTCTCGGATGGTGCTGCAGGACTTCTGTCCAGCCCTGCTGCAGAGACTGCTCCAAACCACCACATCTGCACTGCAGTAACGTCAGGAGGCCCCTTGGGTGGGGATCCATTCTGGCACACAAACACCAAGGCAATCACAAGGCCTATCCCAAAGAATTTACAGTCCAGCACGCTGGAGTGAGGTAAACCTCACCTAATGTCAGGCATTTACAATGTGCACCTAGATCTAAATCTGAATTATTGCTGTGGAGCAGTGGAGAAAAAGCATACTTTTGGGATACAATTCATCTCCTCCTGCAGGACCTCTTTTTTTCAGCAGAGGGAGATAACGGATAGATGTGCACGTCAGAGCAGCTACTCCTCACATCGGCATATGAAAGAATTGCGCCAAATGGTTTATACCTACAACCAAGTCTGATCCAGTGGTTTTCTCAGAGACTAGGAGAGGAGAGTACCTTCAAACATCGCAGCTTCCCTTCTCCAAGTGTGACTGAGCTAATCGCTAGCATCCAGAGCCACCAATCGCTAGGGAAGGCCTCCTCAGGAGTCTCCTCCCAGCAGCCGGGGGCCTGGAGCGGCAGCAGGGGCAATGCTGGAGCACAGCCCTGGGGCTCCACCAAGGGAAGGAACTCAGCTCCAGGGGAGAGTTCTGCCTAGCACTGCGCCCCGCTAAACTCCACATCTCTGAACTGAGAAAGCCCCAGGGAAAGCTGTGTCACAGAGCCACATGCAGCGTGAACACTAGCAAGGCTCAGACAGCCCTTGCATCTCGCAAACAGAGCATGAGCTACAGATGCAATCAAGCACGGGAGCTAATCACTGTGCATGCAGCCACTCTGCTCCTCCACACTAGCCATCAGCTCTGCCTCCAACAATTCCTCTCTGAGAGACCATCCCTGTCTCAGTCTCCTGTATTTCACTCAAAAAGAAGGGAAGCCTCAGGGGCAGAAAGCCTCAGGGGAAGAAGGAAAGATTTAGAAGTCAGGGCGCTCTTGTTCTGAAATGCCCCTTGGAATCAGGCCCAATTGTTCCCCCTAAAGCACCGCCTCTCTCCCAAAGGGAAGGATGTTGTATGCTGGATGCTGAAATGGCACGAATTTCATCCAGCAAGAAATTTGTCCTCCCCCAAAACCAGAGAGAGAGAGAGAGAGAGAGAGGGAGAGAGGGAGAGGCGCTCTCTTTGCTGCTCTTCTTGCCCAAGAAGTCGTATGCCAATGTCCCCCAAAAAGATGGGATCTGAGTGAAATTCTGCTCTGGGGAGAAGCACAAGGAACAAGAGCCTGGATACAACATGGCCCAGCCCCAGAGCAGGGTCAAACAACAGCACCTCAGAGGCTGCTCTTTTAAGCACCTAGAAGAGAGGACAGCCCCATGTCTCAGCAAATAATTAAACCCATCCTTCCCTGGAAGCTCACCTAGGACACTGCACAAACGGGAACCGTTTGACTTTTTGTTTCATCTAGACAGACATACCAAATTCAGGCCACTTGGTAAAAAGCCACGCCCTGCCCCAGAGGACAGGTCTTGTCTTGGGCTCCTAATACAGAACTGGTACTTTGAATATTTCCTTGTGTGTCAGCAGGATCTGCACAGATCTGAGTCTAAATGTTTACCTGCGGTAAGTGCTCAAAAAGCAACAGTGCTGGTCCCACACTGGATCAGAGGGGACAAGCATGAGGTCACTCTGTTTCCTTGTCGGCCATCCTCTTGGCACCCTAGCACCCTGTCTCCACCGTGACCGCAGCCACCCACCTGCACCCTGCACGCACCAGCAGCACAGCCTCACCTCATTCTCCTCCTCATTGTGCAGGGGCTGGGTATAAGCATCTGGCTTCCGGATCAGAGGGTCCACCAGCACAAGGAAAGCCATGTAAAGCAGCAGTGCGCCCACCACGGACAAATAAATGATGATGATCACCTGCAGTTAAGGACAGCACAGTGGGAAAGGATCAGTACTGTAGATAAGAAGCACCACAGAGGCCAGGAAGCTCCAGTCACAGCTGCCTCTGATGTTTGATCTCTTCTCTCATTCTAATTTTGCTCACTAGAAAGTCTCTTGCACTTGCAGGAAGGCCACTGAGATGCAAGTGCCATCACTGCATAATCCGTGCTGATCTTCTCCGCACTGTGCCAATTTAGGACACGTGCTGCATGTGAAAGGAGACCAACAAGATGGGTCCCCGGTCAGAGTTGCTGGGCACTGTCACACATCCTCAGCAAGAAGACTGGGCTCCTGTGCAGCCTGCTCCTCGCTGCCAGGAGCCCTCCTGACTCAGAGCCCCCGGCACTACCACCATGTCCTAGCTGTGATAGTTTTATTTTCCCTTTCTGGGCTCTTTTCCAGGTACCCACCAGTCTAGCTGTGCCTGGGATGGCGTGGCATGGCAAGGAGAAGGAGCCAGCCACAGGGAGCCGACCCACAATTACCTTGATGGTGGTGGTGCTGCGCTCCTCATACTTGCATTCGCACAGCAGACAGTAGGCCTCCACATCATTCCCTGGCACCGGCATTGGCTCCACAACATGCAGGCAGTTGCTGCAACACAAAGAAACCAAAATCAGCAACAGGACAAGGGGAAACCAGTGCTCTGTGGAAGGATGCTGGGGTGACTTTTTCTGTGTCCCAGCTTTCCCATCACGCCGATCCAGTTTTGACAGTTCCCCTCACAGCTCAGCTAGCCCAAAGTTCCTAGGACAGAGCGTCCAAGCACCTTCTGCAGGGATCTGGTCCAGGTGAAAGGGACTGGAGGGTACACCCTACATCTGCTGTGAGCCGTGGCTTAAGAAATCACGCCTCCCAGATTGAACAATCTCTGTTCAAAAAATGCCCCTCGTCTGGGTTGAACATCACCTACCAAAACAGCTTCCTCTGCCAATGCACAGGCAGGGAATTACTTCCTCAGCACCAGCTGGAAACTCCGGAGTGTTGACTTTCATGGACCGACCCCTCAGGCTTCAACCCACAACTCACCAGTCCTTCTGGGACACGTTCTTGTTGTAAATGTGCCCGCTGATGTTCCGGTACGGGGGACAGATGCACTTGCAGCGGATGTCCTCCGAGCTCTGCAGAAGCAAGAGGAGACGGCGCTAGTAAGTGAACACGTGCGTACAGTTCTGCTGCCCTCACCACCCAGGGGTGTAGGAAAAGGGAAGACATTCTCTAAGACAGAGAGAGGACTTCACACCATGCCTCTTCTTCCTGCACTGCGTCTTTCACATCAATAACTTCACAGTTTTAAAATGGCTTGAGCACTTTTGCTCCAGACACCAGGTACTTTTCAAACAAATTTTAAAATGCAAACTCCAAAACACAGCAAAAGGCAGGGCAGAGGCCACTGTCACGTACACTCACAGCTCTACGTATGATAAACACATCTGCTACAGCACTCCTTATCTTTGCAGACTTCCACAGAAAAACAGCTGCTTCTCTGCCGTTTTTGTTTCTGTTGTACTACACACACGGTTCAGTGCTTGTGTCTGAAGCTGTTCACTCACCTTGCTAGCTTGTGCTGGAGGAGAAAGGATGCAGCACAGCAGCGCAATCAGCAGCACGGAGCTCGCACACTTCCGCGTGCACTGGGCAAACATCATGGAAGCCTGAGGAAAACAAAAATTCACATCCAGGATAGAGGATCTCAGCTGAATGCTGAATACGAGTTAGTTTGAGCTTTCTTTTTTGGCCCACTTGCCTCTATTTTGCCTGGGAAGTAGAAATTTATTGCTGAATCAAGGCTGATGCCAGTCAGAAACTCCTGGGAACACTTTACACAGATCCCAAGAAACACTCCTATCAAAAAAGCTTCCAGCATCTAGAGCCACGCATCCAAACTACAACAGTCCTGCAAAAAAATATTGCTGATTTCTGCAACTCCACAAAACCTTCTGTTACCCTCTTACTATTGTGGAGCTCTGCAACGGGTATTTTGCTGCTGACAGTTTTGCCCAGTAAAAGATACAGAACGGGGAAAACCACAGACCAAGAGCGACCTAAAGAAGTGCACGGGGGCCTCATTGCTGTACTGTATAATAAGTGCTAAATCATTCATCTTCTGATACTCAAGGTTTTGCTTCTGAAGGGGTCAGCATATTTTCCTCTCTTGCAAGGGGGTGGAATATTTACCGACTCCTAAACCTCCTTTACCCCAAGATACCTGTTTAGTAAAATCCTAATTTTAAAAAAATATTTCAAGTTGCTAGTTTGCTGAATTCATTACATGCCTTTTGCTACACACGCGTAAAGTTGTTCTCAAGATGTGTGTTTGCACAAATCCGAAAGAATTCCAGTTCATTTTCTTTGCCGCAAAAAGCAAAGCTAGTGGAGACAAAAGGCACAGCAGGCCTCGTGGTGCCACCTTGGGGAGAGCTCTGAAAAGCCACCTCAGCACGGGTTTATTCAGGGAAGGCAATTTACACCTTCATTAATCAGCTCTGTCCGGCGCACGTAATCCCACGGCTAACTCCAGGTGTTTACATTCTATTACCTAACATCATTCCATTAGTATTTACATCACTGGAATATTCTATCACCCTTTGCTTTATCTTATGGCAACGCTTTAAAAATTAGTGTAAATAATTCTGCATCGATTTTATGGATTACAAACACCAAGTTCCTCTCTTCTTTATCTAAAGAAAACACCAGCCACTTCTAACACGCTGAGCTGCCAAAAACCATCAAAATGCATTCCAGTCGTATCAGCTTATCACAGGATACCTTAACCCTGTGCACCCCAGTTAGCAGAAACCTCCTCAAACAATGGTTCTTTCTCTGGAGACACCCTTGCGCATCGGGGTTTTAGCTCTTCATCAAAAATGCTGGTTAATGTATGACCTATCTGAGCTGCACAGTGCCCATTCCCCATTGTAAGTGGCTCTGGACTACTACTTGTTTGAATTTTTAACTCAACAATGGAGCGCGTACCTGGAATTTAGTTTTGGCCCGCTCAACTAAATTCAGATCATCTGAACAACTCTTAAGTGTCATTTTTAATAAAAGCGGGGGAAATCACGTGATCTGTTATACTATGTTTACCAGCAACAAAATAAAAACTTGGCCTGACACCTAGACAGAGTCCCCGCATCATGAACTGTAAAACACCAGGGGCAATTTACACGTAGTTCCTTCCAAATTTGACAGCACGCCTTCCAAGGGACACATGCACACATGCCTTAAAGCTATTGTTTTCCAGACCGTCAGCCAAGCTTACAGCAGCCATCTGTCTCAAAGCATCGGTATCCGGACCAAAACCCAAGATCGCTGGGAATGGCAGTGGCGGAGAGGGGCTGATGTGTGGGTAAGGTCTCGGCGGTCGGGACTGAGGAACGTGGCAGCTCCCGGGCATTGAACCTCCTCCCAAAAGGAGCCCGCAGCGCACCTGCACGCATCCACCCTGTGCCCCCTCCCTGGCAGCAACCCCAATAAACTCCTCACCTTTAACATCACCTGGAGCCCTTCTAAGACTACATCTACGACGGCTCCGACACCTCGCCCACCGCCGCCGCCCCACCCCGGCATCCGGGCTCTAACCACCCCCGACACCGAACCGACCCCCTCGGACCCCCGGTTCCACGCCAGGAGCAGGCCCCTTCCCCAAGGAGCGGGGCTTTCCCCGGGGGCGACCCCTCAGTTCCCGCCGAAGGATGCTCGGCCCTGCGGGGCTTTCCCCAGCCCAGCCTCACCCCGCTCCAGGGGGGGGAGGGACCCGGCCTCCCCTCCCCGCGGCCCGGCCCTACCTGCGGCGCGACGCCGGTGAGGGACGCTCACCACCCGCGGCCCCGGCGCCTGCAAGCCCCACCCCCGCCCCGCTCCCTGCGCGCCCATTGGTTGCAGGGGGTGATGCCCAGTGACAGGCAGTACCCGCGGCCAGTCGGAAGGCAGGTCGCCCCGCCGGCTCCTTCCCTCCCTCAGAGCGGAGGGGACGGGGTGGCGAGCGGGCAGCAGCCGGCGGCGACCGGCCCCGAGGCCCCGGGGGTGCCCGCGTGGGATCGCTGTTGCCAGGCGGTGTTAGGCGGACCTGGCCTGGGGCAGCTCCCACCTGGCTCCCCCTTCGTTCGGGCAGGCCAGGCCCCCCGTCCTGGGGCTGAGCCCCGAGAGAGCCCCGTTCTCCCGCAGAGCAGCCGCCCTGCTCCCCTCAGCGGGCCTTGCGCCGTTCACACCAAAGGTGTTGCTCTGAGCATCGAAGGGGAAAACACAGTGGTGCCGTTGGCTATGTTTTTTGGCTGGCGTATGGTTATAAATGATAGTCGCGGTCCTCTAGGCTCAAAGACCGCAGGTCTGCAATCAATCTCTTGTACTAGAAACCAACGACTCATTTTTGCTCCATCATTGTGCCAAGAAGAATATTGTGCCTTTCCAAAGCCACGTGGTCGTGTGTTTGTCCAAAGGGATAATTTCTGAGATCTGGCTCTAGAAGTATCTCGGTTTTGCCCCATTTTCTGTGGCCGCACCCTTAACTTCAGGCGTGGAAATAACCTTGGCCGTGGCCGTGGCCTTGGCCCTGGCCCTGCTCTGTGGCAGCTCCCTGGGAAGCTCCGCTCTGCAGCTGGGGGGGGCGAACTGCTTCTCCGCTCACTCGGCATTTTGCTGATTTACGTGGGCAATATGTGGTGTCTGATAAAATCGGGATCTAATTCTCTTTCAGGTAAAAAGCTTCCATTGATGGAAGGGAAAGAAAAAAAAAAGAGACCCAAACCTTTGGTTGAACTTCTTGGAACCTTGCGGCTGGCGGCTGGAGCGGGCGTTTCCAGTCCTGACAGAGTTTGCACCTTTGATGAAAATAAAAATGAGAAGACTAAGGTGAGATATATTCAGCCAGAAATATGTGTAAATCGGAGAGGAATGTCTGTCTGGCATAGATACTTTTAACTTTTTAGAAAGGAGTAAATTGATTGAGGCTGCTTGTTTTAGGGTTTGTAGAATGTATAGACTGTGGAGGCTGCCAGCCTTTAAAATGTCCCACACTGGTATTTAAAAGCCAGGTAGATGTGGTGCTTGGGGACATGGTTTAGTGGTGGGCTTGGCAGTGCTGGGTTAATGGTTGGACTGGATGATCTTGAAGGTCTTTTCCAACCTAACGATTCTATGATTCTGTGCACCCAAGTATGGGAATTACTGATGTAAAAGCCTTTTCTCACCCCATTGCTGTAATGTGACCCTGCCACGGCTGCATCTCCCCCCCCACTCAGCTGGAGTCTGTTACGGGACCGTGGCCTATGTCAGCTGGATTGATCCAAGGAAATATTCCATGAGAACAATCCTGGGTATTAGATGCACAAGGGACTTCTAATTCCTTCCTCCTACTCCAGCGTTGCTGAGCGGAAGAAGCTCTTTGGTGCTAACTCGCTGCTCTCACTTCAGAGCAGAACCTTAGGCCTGCCTGCGGGACACTGCCAATGCTGTGAAATGACTGAGTTTTTACAGGTTTAAAAGCCAGATGACCACGGGGATTTTATGCTACCAACTTTCACAGCACGATTGGCGAGGAGGTATTATCTTCTCTGACGTGCCTGTGGTCACAACAATCTGTTTTTCTGTCTTCTTTCACAGCCCAAAGGTACATATCGCTGCTTCTTGTGGGGCTGGAGTAAGCTGGATAGACACCTGGAGGAAGCAGCCTGAAGTGGCGACAAGACACTGAGAATCCCCTTGGAGTAAGTAAAGGAGTGGCCCAGGCAGCTGAGACACTGAATGCAGGGATCAGGTTTTTTAGGTGAGGGCCTCAAAGACAGACCCACCAAATACAAGATGAGCTTGAAAGTTGTATTTCAGTTTCAAGTCCCTTTTTCAAGAGACTGGTTTCCGATTCCTTGGAAGGGAGGCTTAGCTGCGTGTGCATTTCCTTCATAGTGATGGAGGGTGTTAACAATGAGTTAAATGCATAATAAGTTTTAATCTTTAAGCTATTATGTTAAGAACAATGTAGAATATAAATTACATGGGTTGTGTGCTTGCAGGTGTTCAACATCAATCATTTATATTAAATTCATGCAAGACTGCTCATTTGTCCCTGTACAGCCCCAACCCAGAGGCAGGCTAAAATCTGCCTACCTAAATAGAAATTAGAGAATAAGTAAAAAGGATTGAAATGTAGATAATTATTCACCTTTAAGTACATAGGGATAAGAATTAGAAATAACTTAGGTATACGTGGAAATCGAGACGAAGTGAAGAAACCGTGAGGATCAAATAAGAAATTTGGCCGAGATGACCTTTGTGACAAGCCAACCTGAAAGAAGGAAAACAAGAAGAAAAGAGAAGAAGTGGGACTTTGAAACAGGAACAAATCGAGACGTTCTAAATGCCCTGAACACCCTGGAAATTTCTGACTGTTCAGAACAGACACACATGTGATCTATATGAGATAACGGTAAAAGACAAGGTATATAAGCACGGAGTGAAATAGTTTGAATCACCACTCTCTGCGGAGGTGGTCCATCGATATATCATTGCCTGAAAATAAAGCAAACCTAGAGTTACCCATTCTCCACTGAATATTTTGGTGACAGAGGGATATCTCGCACACACCACCTCCAGGAGACCATTTTCTGTTTCCTTTCTTACTGGCTTTCCCCCTGCCCAGCAGCCTTTTTGTCCGTCCCAGGTAACTTGGACGTAGTGGGCTCAGTTGTCTTCTGGATGTCATCCCTGTTGCTGTGTTTAAAGCCCAGCAGCAGTGGAAAAAGAGAGAATTTGGTTGGAGGGAGCAGGATTTGCTGCTTTATTTCTCCCTACCTGTTGCTCAGCTTTGTCCTCATTCGTAAGTGCACCACTATGCAGATCCAACAGATGTGGTCACGTTTCCTGAATTTCTCGGTGTGCTAAATGCAGGTCCCTTCAAAAATCTACCTCCAGTAGTGGGTCCTGAGAGATCTTCTGAGTAATTTGGGTTGATGGTAGCTACTGAAACCAGCCTGCAGAGGTCTGTGACTCCCCCAGTGGTCTGGCAAGAAGCTTCATCGTACTTTGGAGACCGCAAGATTAGCAATGACTTTTTGGGGCTGTTCATTCCCAATTTCTGCCTTTCGCTTTGTTGGCAGCAGACAGGTAAGAGAGGTGCCTCAGAGGAGCTTTCCATAGGCAGTGTCCTGGGAACAGAGGCCAAACACAGTTCATCTGGCATGGAGGGAGAGGGAATTGGAAATCAGCATAGGAAACAAAGAAACACAAATACATAAAAGAGGGGAAATGCATCACGCGTTGCTGTTAACACTGCGCTCTCCCCTTACCGATGTAATTAGTCCTTACTGGTATTCACGGTGTCAGCCTTTGAAGGACAGGTGGCATTTTTGTTAACGTGACCAGCGGCTAAGGACACACAAGAACAGCTTGTCCTTGGCCTTTCTGGAAACGGGTGTTAGCGACTACACTGTAAATCTTCTTCCTGCACAACGATGGGGTCACATCGGCAGCCAGATATTTAAAGGGCAATTTATTTTAAATTGTAAACAAACAGCTTGACTTGTAAATATCCTGGAGATACATCCTACCAATATAAAAGGCATCCTGTAATTCAGGGGGAAGACACTTCATTCTTCACCTGCAACAAAACGATCTGGTCTTTGTGTTAAGCATGAAATGAAATTTGCTCGCAAAATGCTTTCAGAATTGTAAACTGACAAGAGGGGATGCAAGGGTGCTTGGGCATTGGGCCAACCTCCTTGAGCTCTCTTCCTTGCGCAGGATGGTTGGTTAGACCAAGGAATAGCAAGTCTTCTCTCTTTTGCTGTCGGCTCCCTTACGACTCCAAGGAAGTGGCTTCTGGTGACGTGCCTTAGTTTCCCCAATCCTATGGTACACAGGGTTTCTGTGAGGGTGACTGAAGAACTTGTGAGGGTCGTAAGAACTGCTTGTGAGGGTGCATTAAGATCTCAATGTGAAAGACCTCACAACCTTAAGAAGACGTGTAGAAGCCTTACAGAGATTTCTGAGCGTATGTTAATGAACAGGCATTGTCAGTCACAGGCAGGAGCAGCTGGTGTGTGGGGGGGTTGACAGAAGATGTGGCTTTCCCAGCATGCTGGACTCTGATAACCCAGGAGATACAGTGTCAGTACGTCTCCTTTGGTCACGCGCAGACAGGCTGGCATTGTGAAGGACCCTCTGTCAACCATGACCTCCCATGGTATGAACAGAGTAGAGAACAACCATTAATGTAACAGCCATGGAAGGGTAAATCTGGACCATGGAATTTGGTGTTGAGTCTCACGGCTCACAGCTGTGCAGCAATTGCTCACTCACACCTTGAAGTGCGATGGTGAGGAGACTCTTCACGTTGGCGGCGGGGTGTCTCTGGGGTGGCGAGGGGCCACCAAAGGGCTTGACTGATGCTTCTCCACCTTCGTTGCATTTAACCATTTCGTAGGCTGCTTCTGCCCCTAGACTGGAAACCATTTCCAGTCTAAATACTCACAGTTTACAAACAGGACAGCTGAGAAGAAAGGCCTTGTCCAAGTTCACCCAAGCCTCTTGCAGCCTAGAAGAGGGAGCTGCTACACCCCAGGGCAGTGCTCTGGCCACTGGTCTGCACTGCTTCCCTCTGCTTGAGTTCGGTGTGCTTTCCCAAGTAAAGAACAGAGGCCGCCTTAGAGGGAAAAGGGAATTCCCTGTGACCAGAAGTATTTTTCAAGAGCTGATGCTGTGTCCTGGAGCCTGGGAGCGTGTGTGGTGGTGCAGCCCTGCTGTGAACCACATAGGAGCTTGAGAAGTGTCCTCGTCTGCTGGAGCTGCCGTCTAAGGGAGTAGGG